AGCCAGGGAAAGGGTCATTGCATTGACTCATGTCATGCCAACACAGTCAAGTTACTTTTGCACAAAGCCAGTTAACGGAAACTGCAGCCTAGGGAATGTAGCCCGTTCACAGGCCAGGAAGATTAACTCCACCCCCTGTCATCTTTGCTTAGTTCTTCATCAAAAGCCAGGTTACTTTTGTCATAGATATAAAACACAATTATCCAGCTAGTCTGAATTACCAAAGATACTTTCTCTTCTTCCTCTTCTGCAGCAGTGTGACTCCTCATTATAACTAATGTTTAGAACAAGCCCCTCAACCAACAGTGGATTCACTGAAGTATCATTTTGTAAGTGAAGAAACGTGGGACCAACCTACATTGACCTGCCTGGCACAAATGATCCATCACAAGGGGCAGTTCTGAGAAGGCTGCAGCAAATGGTGCTTGCTGTTATTAGCGATATCTACACTATCACATAAGCCCAGGACTTTAATAAAAAGAAGTACTTCTTAGGGGTTCTTAACAGTATGAGATGAAAGTTCAAGCAGATAACTGTAGATAGCAAGACATTTCCTCAGCAAAGAAAACAGTAACTTCTGTGTAACAAAGAGGCCTTTCATTTTAACCCCTAGCTCCTCCAAGCTGCAGATGTTTCAGCGTTCTGCGATTGTGTGGGGTTTACTAGAAAGATAAGATCTTAGATGTGATTTCTCAGGGGAATGCAAGAAGGACTGGTTCTTCTGTTCATAAGGAATCTCCCTCAATGGAGCCATGCCAATTTATATTGGACTAGGGTGTGGCCCTGATTTCTTAAGTAGAAAGTTATTTTTCCCTTCCTGATGTTTCCACTGCTTGTCCTTTCAGGTTTGCACAAAATTAATTCTCACCAGATGATATAATAAGTTCCAAGTTCTCATCTTTCTAACGGAGCCTTCATATTTCCTTATGGACACATGAAAGATTTCTAATTTAAGGAGATCAATGGCTCAGTGAGTCATGCTGCTCCGATCTGTGCACAGATGGGACCCCCACTCAGCACATAAGTCTTTTCCTGTGCTGAGTGAATGTAGGATGGGGCTTATCTCCATCACACCGGTCCCTTTTTAACAAAGTGGTTTGCAGAGCTCTTCTGGAGATTCATAATCTGTACATGCAAAGGGACTCTGTTAGGAAAGGAGCAAGAGAGACCCTGAAAATAAATCCTGAGGCCATGTTAATAGGTGTGTAGATTTTACGATCAGAAGTTAATGCTCCTTGTGGCAGCAACGAAGGACAGAAATACTTCTCCAGGAAGCCAAAGAAATATCAAAGAGATTTCAGAACTGAACAAAAGTACCAGGCATCCATGTGGCCTTTGTGCAGTGGATCTTGTGAGATGTGAAGCTCCTACTTCTTGAAGTATTCTGGGAAGACTTTGAGAGAGAAATGTCATAAAAGTTATTTCACCTCCTGCTTCAGTGAGGAGTTTTCTCCCTGGATAAATGGGAAATTTCTCCCTTTTATCTGCAGCCTTATGATATAAATACAGTGCAGTAGTGTCTGCAAGTTATTTACCATTAGATGAAAGTTTCCATTGCCAGGATAGCTTGGATTTCCAGACGCTGCCCGTGACAATCTCTTACTAATACCAGCCCCCAGAACAGCCACTACTGAAGTCTGTAGTAGCTGACCAGTAACCTCTTTGAATAGATTTTTTGGTTTCAGTGCCACTCTCAAATGGACTGATGTATAGCAGTATGACAGCTGCTTCCCTTGCAGTTAACCTCTGCAGACCAGATGGTGCATAAAACTGAGCGGTAGAGGTGGTTATAGTTCCTGCCAGATCATGTCTGAAGAACAGTGACTGGACAGAAGGAAAAACTTTTCCATTGTTTCTCATTCCAGCTTGTCCTCACTTTCACAATATTTTATAATGCTACATCTCTGTACTTCCCCATTTTTTAACTGTGTCAGCTCTCCACCACTGTCCCAAGCTTTGATCACCTGTTTTATCAACTTTTTTTTAACCATCTCTGCACCCTCGTCCAGATGTCCCACATTCATGGAATGCTTTTTAAAAATTAATTCACAAAGGCATTACTTGTCTCCTTTTTCAGCCCATTCCTCAAGGTCTACACCCACCAGGATATCTGCAGGAAATTACAAGCTAATAATAGCTATGCAGAAAACTAGTAAGGATCTTCAAAATAATTTAAAATGGATTCTATGTTTTGTTTGTCTTCCTCACCCTTTGGATTAGATTATCTCTTGACTGGTAGATGTCACCACCATGCTTTTTAATCTCTTTATTAAACACTGTAATGTCTCTACATGGAGCTGGGCTTGTAAGTGGCCCATAAATTTTAGCCCGTGTAGTGGACCGGAGAGATGGAGCACAGCAGAGTATGGAGGGTTATCTCCACTATGCCCACAGCTGAGAATGTAAAGAAGGTTTGGACTTCAGATCCTGGAGTGTCCCATACATTTCACGGCCTTTCAGGAGTTCAGGCCTCATCCTCCTCAAACCCTTACGGGCTTCACACAGCCCTGGAAAGCCAAAGCTACAGGCAAGTTTTGTTCTCACAGAGCTATCAATCCAAACTGACTCTGGAGGCTTCTATGAATTACTCCAGAATTGCCCACAAGGCAACGTAGAGCAAGAAAATTGGCATTGTTGCTTAAACGAAGACATAGGAATTTACACTGATTTCTTCTCTTGCACTTCCTTTGGGGAACACTGTGATTTTACTGAGGTTTAGTTTGTTCATGGTAACATCCTTTAAATCCAGACCAGCTCCCCTGACTTCAGCAGAGTTAATATGGATTTACGCAAGTGTAAGCAAGGATGAGATCTGGTCCTAATTTAGGACACATCTGCCAGCACAGATGGAGCTGAGAGAGTTTATTGTCATGTTAATTTTCTACCTTTGTTTGAGATTCTTCTAAGCATGGAACAAACCCAACAATTTTAAAATCTTGCAACATAGGCAATGTTATCCCTCTTATTGTGGCTGGTGAATTCCACCAGAGCATAAGATGACCTTGTACTGAAGTAAATCATGATGGCTTAAAAAAATAGCGTCATGGAAAATAATGGCTAAAATTGTCATCCTGTAGCCACTTTGAAAGGTGATTAACTTTCTGTGATGAGCAGCTCTATTGACATACTCCTGGCTGTTTTCAAATGAATCGCGTGAGTAACAGTTTGCATGACCGTAGCCCGAGGAGCAGTTTTCCACACTCTTCATCCAGGCAAGACTCCAAGAAGGTCATGCAGAGTTTTGCCTGAGTAATAAGTGCTAAATTTATTGTTTGATGGCTGTGAATCTAAAAAACATAATTGCTACCTTTAAATTAAATATTTTATTGTGATTCTGGGCCTTAATCTGTTGATTTTTAAAATTGATATCTTTTTCTGTTGTCTGTTTTGATGCTTTAGAAAGTGAATGAGGGAGCAGTGCTTTCTTATAAAACTTGAAAAAGTATTTTGTAGTCCATGCAAATGGCTTGCATGCCATGAAATAGAATATTGCATTTTCTCTGCCATCCAGTATGTCCTGGTATCCTTTTTTTTTTTTTAATTAGGCAAATAATGTGTCTATTTTCTGTCTTAAAGGAAAAAAGCTACTGATGATTGCTCTGGAAGGGTTACTTGTGTAAAGAATACAGGATCTGATTTTACAGGAATCACTGTTTGGAGAAAGTATTGATTTTATGATGGAGAAAGAGATCTTGTTGTTCTTAAGCTCTGCTTTTTCTGTGGAGTCAGAAACCTTACAGGTTTTGAGCATTATTATAGTGCTTTAAGGGATCAAAACATTCTTGAGCAGATCAGTACCAAGTTTGTACAACTAACCCCCCTAGTGTAAATGTTAAAAATCAGATTCCTAGGAGTAAAAGACAGAATCTGGTTTAATCTGATTTATCTGAGTTTTAATGCCAGCACAGGTTTGAGTGTATTGTAGAGTGAGAAAGAATACTGCAACTCATTCTTATCCTATAGCAGTGCAAATCTAAGGTAACTCCTGTATTCAATATTCTCCCTCAAAAGTAGTGTGAGAAAAAAGTCAAACCAAACGCATTGAAGATGATGTGCAGAATTTGAAACAAAATGAGACACATATGGGGAGGAAATTGCATTATAATAATTTGATTACATATTTCAAACAGATTTCTGGGGCCCATGGCATACCCATAAAGGAGATGAATTTGGTAATGTAACTGTAGTGATATTAGTGTAAATCTGGAGTTGCTGCAGTAACATCATATTAGCCCCATTAATTCTGTAAAATCTTGCTGGTAGTTATTTTTTCCCCTCAGCCTATTTTAAGTGGGTGATTAATAATTTTGTAATCTGAGCTCTTACGTAATAGACCATTCATAATAGCAGTTACTCATCAAGAATATTCTCAGCTGAACAATTTGGTACAACAGGACAGATTCAGATTTCCCAGTGGTTTGCTCTTCATGTAGTTGCCCTGAGTCACATTAGGGTTAACCAGAAAGCTTATGTTTTTCAGGATGTAACCCAGGAAACACAATTCAGAAGGCAATTGTAACCTCTGTTAAGGCTGCCCAAATTTAGAGCTCTGAATCAGAACTATCCACGATGCAGACTGGATGAAGGGTTCAGATATTCAGTTCCAATTTTTTCCTACATGAGAGATTTCAAAAATTTTTAGACAGAAGGTCAAGAACAAAGCCACCTATCAATGACGCAGGTGGGGAAAAAACCTCTTTACACCCATAACACTGTTGAGAACTACACTGGTGTCCACTATCAGGTGGAAATCAAAACTGCAACACCCTTCCTCACCTGGGAGCAGGTAATAGCTGGGGCATTGGTGACATCTGAGCAGGAGGGGCAATAAGCATATAGGGAGGTGCTGGGGGGAGTAGGTAACTTCTAACCACAGGGAGCTTGTGGAAAGGAGTAGGTGTGGTTGACTTCGGGGAGGGAGAGGAATTGGGAGCTCTTCAATGGGGGCTGCCTCCCAGCACTGTTTTTCCTTTCCTGGCAGGTTTCTGGAGGGCTCAAGCATGTGCAGCTCTTGGGTTGTATTAGCCTTTTGCTGCTTGGGACAGCTGCGTGCAGGTAACAGGCATCTATCTGCAGTCTCTTCTCCTTTCCTGTTGCTCCTCTCTGTACCTCTTCCCTTTCTGTTTTTCTTGTGGTTTTGGTTTTTTTTTTTTTCTTTTGTCTTGGGTGTCAACTCTCTGCTCTAAGACCTGTATTGGGAGGGGAGTTTAGGGCTTCAAACATGTGTTCTGCTGGAATATTGTTAAAGTGTCTCTACTGCAGCTAGGCTGGGAAGGAGGAGGTGCTGCTGAATCTCTCTCTTTGTTTTTAGTTAATCTTCCCCGGGAGACTGGAGATGGGATGAGCTTGTGTGGAGAGGGAGGAAGTATCTGACATAAACTTTATTCTAAGAGTACTTGCTCTTTCCAGTGCCTCTCCCAGACAGTTTTCCTTTTTTGTAAGGTTTTGCTATATCTCTCTCTGAATGTTAACAAGCCTGGTCTTAAAAACCTTAAGATTTCCTTACTGCTAATTGATCTGAGAACTGACTGTACTGCTTCTGGTGCTGCCACTGGAGGGGGGAGGCTGTATGTGGGACCCTGAAGACCGATGTTCAAGTATCCCCTATAATGAGGCTTTGCCTTTCACCTTCTGAGCTGATGTGACCTGTATGTTTGAGGAGCAACATCTCTTGCCTCCTTTCCCAAATCCTTGGGGTCCCCGTTTTGCATTAAAGCAAACCCCCTAACTCTCAAACTTTCACAGGGCAGGTAGGCTGTTTCCTGCTCAGCTGCAGTTCATATCCCCTTTTTATGCTTTAATGTTGTTTGTAAGTGCTGCCAGATCCTCCCTTTTGAGTCAGAGTTTGCAGGGGGAGAGGAGGAAGATTTTGCATATACTTTTTTGGTAACTTTCTCTTCTAGATCAAAGCCTGAAGCCTCAGATTGCAGCCCCTCAGCTTGCTACAAACAATCCCACTCTTACTACAGTTGCTCTAGAAAAACCTTTCTGTATGTTTGACAGCTCACTGCATCCAAATAAATCTTACGTAATCTACTTGTATGCAATGAAGGAAACAGGTGAGTATCAAGCATTATGCCTCTCTGGAAGATAACCACATTATGTGGACATTGCATGCAATTCTTCACAATTTGATGGGAGTGGGTCTGAATGGGGGAAAAGAGAAAAATCTGTAGCTATAAGCTATGTACAAGCTGAGCCTCTGGCCTCAGTTTTGTCTAGGGTATTATTACAAAATATAAATAACCATAGTATTTCAATGGGGCTGGTTAATGATAGCAAGTGTTAGTACTGTGCTAGCTGACTCCCAGTAGGTGTGGAGCAGCACTATCAGCTGTAAGCCTTTGCCCAAATCTTGCTAATGAAACAAAGTGGTCCACAGTCTGATACCTTACCTTTGTCTAAACACAAATGCCTTGTATAAAAGTCTGAATTCCCCTAAGTAAACCTGCTAAGAGACACTGGGTAACGCTGCTGTTTGCATCATAGTTAGGGTAGCCAGCCCTTACAAGGACTACTTTTTTTTTTTGTAGACAAAGGCAAGTCATGCTAGACTTGTGGTCAAAGATGCCTGTCCCATGGGGTCATTCATAAAATGAGTTTCATAACTGCCTGGCAATGAAACATTGCTGGCAGTGACCAAGAACTGCCTTCTCTGTTCCCTGCTGTTCTGGCAGACTGTTTTGAATGTCAGTTAGAGCTACTCCATAAGCTGACAGAAACAAATTGCTTCCTTATATCACACCATGTCCCCTGAAGGCTGTATGCAGCCTCCTTTTCTGAGAGGCACGGAGAAGAGATCTTGAGGGGGCAGTAGTGAAACCCACCAACAGACAAAACAGGCTTGAAACTTCCACTGCTGATGGTTGCCGCTTTGGACAAGGTGAAAAGAGGGTGCCTTGGGGCAGAAGCCGTAATCAGAGACACCATCCCATACAGCTAACATAGACAATTGTGAATGCATGGTCTTCTGAGATACATCCCACGGCTGAAGTGCACATCTTTATATGTTTAAAACAGACTATAAGTGCATTATAATTATATAAAAGGCTACTGATACCTAGTTAGACCTGCAAATAAGGTTTGTGTTAGAAATTACCTCAACCACCCCATCTTCTGTAGTTTCTGTGGCAAAAGCTTCCTACGCAGATGGATGAATCCCTACAAAAGGGGTTATATACAGAGAAATCTCTTCTGCTGCTTTTAAGGCAAGCAGACACAAACGTGTTACTTTGCAGACTGGGAGGAATTTTGTTTGGATTTATCTCTGGTCTGCAGAGAAGTAGGTTGGCTCACCCTTGGATGCCTCCTGGAGCAGGGAGAAGGAAAATTTAAGAGAACTTAATTTTCTTTAATGCCTTATGTTCAGCTCTGCTGGTAAGGAAATGTGTCAGCATACTACAAAGCTGAGGGTCTCGCAAATTTCTGAGGAAGTAATGTAACTTCTAGCTCTCCTCTTGTTAATGTTGCTAGTAAACCTAGTAAAGTTTAAAAAAACCAAACAAACCAACTAACCCCAACAAAAAAAAAACCAAACAAAAACACAAAATGAACTTGCTTAGGCATCAGCTCTTACTTGCTCACCAGAGCCAGGCAAAGTTATTGAAGTGGATGGAGACTGGGAGAGCAGTAAGACCTAGCTGCAAGAAGTATAATTTGGGAAAGCAAGCCCAAGAATAAAGCAGGTCTTAGCTAGTATTTGCTTTCATGTTATTGGCTCCCATTGAAGAGAGGGATGTCAGAGCTCAACAAACTTGAACACTGACCCTTAAGTTGTATTTCTAACCTGTGCTGGAAACTTTTCCCTTTTAAAACAGGTTTAATTTTGCATTGGGTCATAGCTAAAAACTCATGGCCAAGCAGCTGCAAGAACTCTGCTCCAGGAGCACAGCAGAATGCTTCCAAACTGAAGTAGTTCCCGATGTACCGTGGCTTTGTAGAAACTGGCCTTCTTTTGCTGCTGACACCACTGAACAGCTGGAGGGAGCTCTCAAAAAAAATTTAACCTGCAGTTGCAGAACTTGGGAGCATGTCTTGGGATTCGTGCCTTGGCTTTGCAACAGGAAAGGTTTGAGAGCTGCAACTGAGCTTCCAAACTATGCTTTAGGGCTGGGCACAGATTCACACTTTGCTTGAAGCTGTGAGGACTTTCAGACTTTGAGGCATGCTGCCTGGAAGCAGTGACATGCCTCGCTGGCCAGAAATGGAGATACTGCATCCATTCATGCAGCCCCTACACACTGCTCTGTGTACTGTGTGGTTCTGGGAGGTCCAGCTGCTGCATGACCAGAGGTCTAAGGGTTTCTGTTCCAGGAGATGGGAGAGTTGTGACTCTATAGGAACTCTGCCTTGGCTATAGTATCAAATCTGAAATGGCAGCATTTACTGAATGTTTATTGGAGCCATGTGTGGCATGGCCTTTGCCACCCTCCCCCCTGCTCCACCAGATTCTCCTTGGAAAAGAGGAATTTTGGGAGGGTGGCTACTAAAGTAGTGCTCTGAGATACTCTATGGATCCCTCTCAGTTTCTGAGGGACAAGCGTAAAGAGCTTCATCACCAAATAAGGAGGAAGCGGTAAGATCACTACGCAGCCAAATTGGTAGCAGGTTTTTTGTTTCCCTTTTGAGTGTGTTGGGGTAGAAGAGCAAGTTGCCAAGTAAATACAGGGTGAATGGAAAGAGCTGAATGAGTTCTAACAGCCTTGTTAAAAAGCATCTCTCCTGCAGCAAGTGCAATAAGCTCCCTGGTGACCGACAACAGCGGCAAACCACTCGACAGCACCTTCCATCAAACAAGTGGCGGGCAGCTTGGACCTTACAAAGCTGCCTTGTTTGATGTACCCAATTGTGCATCACCTCCCAAACTTGCTGATGTAGGAGATGTCAACAAAGTTTCTGATGTCCTGAAACAATACCTCTTCAGAGTCGGGGATGATGGGACCTGTTTGTATGACCCAAACTTCCTAGCTGTCTGTAACCCACCTCTTGCACCAGATACAACATACAGGTATAATTCTTATTTCTTATAAGGTGATTGCTGCTCTTAAAACACAATAGGAAGCAATGGAGCAAAATAGGAGTTTGTAATGTTCTTTTGTAATGGTATGATGTGAATTACCAGTCCCTAACCAAAATGGTCTATTGCAAGGGTAGTTGTGAAGATGGCTTGGCTTTGGTCTAGCACCCTGCAGATGGTGCCATGTGGTACCCTAGCAGTGGTGAGCTCTGTCAGGTTCAATTCAGTGATCAGTAGGAAAATTCAATGTGTGAACTGCTGAATCTATACCTATGTTGGAGTAGGTAATCCAGTGACAGCATCTGATGAGAAACTGCTTGTAGAAAAGGATTTTGACTGGAAAATGATGTTGAGATTATTCACCATGTATTTTGTGTTAGATGATTCTGCCAAATTGCAGACAGATCTGGCTCTGCTTGCTTTGTTTTGATGGGATTCTGGGGAGCCAAAGCTCTCCTTGGTCTCCAGCCCCAGGAAGCCATTAATGTTACTGGAGTCTTCACGGTGGCTTGCAGACTTGTCTGACCCCTGTTGTCTGGGGAAGCTGGCCATCTGGGGAATTCAGGCACACTGACAGCTGTTACCCAAAACACTTGCTTTGCTCTTGCCAGCAACTTAAAAGCTGTAGTAAAAATGGCAGTCGCATGGAGCCATATCTGCTGTGGAGACCTAATACACTTCTGAAACAAAATACTATCGGCTCTTAGTTTTGCAAAAACTGTCTTGCCTCTTCTGTCTCTTCAGGACATTTCTGAAAAATCAAACTATTGTGGAATGGAAACTTAATTTCTTTGCCAAATCTGATGTTGGCCTGTCTCTTCAATACTCTCCTCTAGCAGTGAAAGTCCCAAAGATCTCTATTGTTGGACAAAATCTTTGACTTCCATATGGAAATCAAAACCACTTGCTGTCCTAAATAATGAGGCTCTTCACAACAGGAAATAGCAAGCTGGGAAAAACTGTTGTTGGAAAGCTATCATCTGCCAAGGCTCAGAAGAACAAAGTGCAAACTGTGCATGACATAGCATGGCATGCTTTTCCACGATTAATTCTATTTTTTCTTTATAAGGTCTCTGAAAACAGTCAGTTACCTTTGTCTCCATCTAATGCTTTGACAAAACCTGCAGTCTGACCAGCTAATCCAATACCTTAAAAATGCTGGTAAGAAAGTTCCAATTTAAAAAACCTAATTTAACGCTTTTTCCCTATAGGTTTAAATATGTGTTGCTAGATAGCACTGAAGGTATCATGAAAGCCCAAACTCTCTGGTCTGATCCAATCAAAACCAGAAGAGGTAAGTCTGTGGCTTTGCTCAGGTCTTCTGAGTAGTTGTGCTTGCCTTAGGACACTGTTGCTCTATGAGCAACACCTAGTCCTTTCCCAAAGTTTTAACAATTTTGTCAGCCTTTTCAGTATTGGAGTAGCAGACTTAAATATGGAATAATTCTCTACTTTTGTGTACTTCAGAACAATTCTTTTAGTAAAGAGAAAGTTTGTACATGCAGTTTCAGATTTGATGTGCATCATGGTATCTGGTGCTGTTGACATTTCTCAGTAATACAGGTACTTGTCATACTGGCTAAACTGCTGAGGAAAGCTTATAAACTCTAAATGCTGACATTGAGTCTTAAACCTGTTTCCCATAAAGCATCTAAGACTTCAAGTATAGACATAATCAGTTTGCCTCTCCTAAATCACCAGCTTTCTCCTATTTGGTAGGGGTGTTCATGGTCAAAAATAGATCATAGGAACAGTCTTTCTATGCTTTTCTAGTTAAACTTCCCTTGAAAATTGACACCTGGCCTGGTCGAAGGAGTGGAGACATGATTGTCATTACATCGATCCTAAGTGTTCTTGTGTTCCTTCTGCTTGCTGGCTTTCTTGCCTCTGTGTCCTCTGCTGCCATGTAAGTACTGCTACACCTTACAACTTCCAGTAAGAGTACCTAACCTCTCAGTCATCAGCCTTCTTCCATATGGCTCCAAGCCACTGTTGCTGGTCTTGTTTGAGATGACAGGCCAGATGGTGTCCTCCAAATTTTGAAGCTGGTAACGGGAAAAGACTACTTTATCATAATCTTCCCTAAGATCAGCAGCTCTTGTAATTATTACACAGCCTTAAGCTTACTAGCTGCCAGGCTTTAGTAGGGACTACTGGAAAAAAAAAACAGTAGAGTTGTACATAAAGCCTGCGTATTTTTTTCTTACATGTTGCAGCTTTCCATCTATTCAAGAGTTTGGAAACTGTCTTAAGGAGTGCAGGCATTTGTAAAGATTACATAATGTCCTAATTAATGCCTTGATTTTAATTTATTTGCCTCCTCCACAAGAGAAATTAGTTACCCCTTTCAATTAATAAGTGAGGCTTTGCTGGAGCTGTATAACTCAACTAGTCTATGCATGTTCATTTTGGAGGGAATTAACTAAATTTTAGAAATGGTGGGTAGCAGGGCTGCTAACACTCACTTCTTTCATTCACTTGAAAATGATGCAAGTGCTCTGTATTCTGTCAGCTCTGCCAGGCTCTCCTGGATTAAAGATGTGGAAAGCAAAAACTGCATTGCAAATGATTATTTAAAAAAATCTATGGGCTTCTCTGATGCTGAATGATTTAAATAGCAATCAGCCTTTGCAAAGTCTTGTGACAGTAGGCTCCACTCAGTCTCTACTGGAACTTAATAAAGCCTTTCACTTGCCCACCAGGGGATCAAAAGATTCTTCTGCAGAGACAAGGTGCATGTCTCAGACTATCCAACAAAGTGAACCGAGACCGCAGTTAAGCTCTGAGTGAACAACCTGATTCAAGTCAATGGTGAAAATACAACTGAATTGCTACATGTGCTAGACCTAAGGGACTGTCTCTTCTACTCAACACTAGTCCAAAACAAGCTACAGAACGCAACCCAGGCAACTGAAGATGAATGGCATACATGAAATAAGGACAACTTTTTTGAAGTCTTGCAGTATGTGGTATCTTGTCTTGTCCTAATGAGATTTGATTTAGTTAATTGCCTTGTATAGAACATAACGAATGCCTGGACTGAAGAAAGAATCATCACAAGATCCCTCAACTTCAGTGGTGTGATCAGAACTTGTCTAGTACATGCATCTCATCTGGAGTAAGCATTACTGCAGACCTCTCATCTGCTTCTCGCGATCAGATGAATGTGATGTAGCCATTTGTGTCTCAACCTTTCTCTATAGTAACTGATGAGGAATAAAGAAAAACAGGCTGCTTTAGAAAAAGATGTTCTTAGAGAAAACTAGGGATTAAAAGGTAGACCACAGGGAGCTACTGCTGCTTCCTCAGGATTTTAGTGACTATTTGTGTCATAAGACTTCCCTTTTTTCCTTTCCTTCCCTAAAAGAAAGCAAGAAAGTGCCCTGTATGTAGCAGAGTAATTCTGATCTCAAATACTTAAATACCCTGAAACAGCTTTGCAGGGATGAAAGCTAACAAAACTGCTTCAAAGAAGGTGTGTTCTTTCAGAGCTCTGTATAATTTGTTGGTGGGCTAGTGAAGAGGAGATACTGCTTTAGTGGGACACATGAGTATATTCACTGTTGGCAGGCTTAGCCTCATTCTTTACCTTAGGCAGCTGCAAGCCAGCACTCTTCACTTAGTATCTAGACTGGTGGGGGTTTTTTAAGCTAATTCTCTTCCTTCATTTCATTATCTCAGTTGGTGACTAAAAATAAATCTTTGCCCCAAGTTTGAGTTATGTACTGCTTTTTTCCATTGATGCCAACTTCCATATGCAGTTTTGTCTCTACAAAATACTTGAGGAAGATCCAACTTCAAAGCCCTACTTTTTGCCTCTTGAGTATGTATAAGCAACTGTCCTATTGTAGGAAGCACTTACTTGTGATAAGTACAGAGCTGCCACTTGTTGTTATTGATGTCCTCCTAGTTTATCAGTAAACTTGTTAAACTGTCTCAGATTATAAATACATAAGGATTTTGTTTTGACACAGGTAGTTCACCATCACTGTCATGACTGGATGGTCTTGCACTGATACTTATTTCAAGGAGTGGGACTTATTCTCTTCAGATTTTGAAAATTAAAAATTTTTGTGTAAAGTCAAACATTGTCAGGGTGGAGTGTTGAGATTGTAGCCTGGTGATTGCAAATTTTTCCATTTTAAACTTCAGGACTTAGGCCCAAGAGATTTGTATATGAGCTCATGGTGTTTGGGTATTCTAACTACAGCATGCTAAAGCTTGCCTGCTCACTATCTTGGTTTCAGCTACGCAAGGGCTGGCAGGGAGAAGGGAGAAAGCACTTTAAGTGAGAGATGTGTGCTGTGCCTTCTGACTAGAAATGGATGCTGAAGTACCTGGAATGATATTTTTCTGGATTTTGGCCATTGGTGCCTTCCTTATAATATTCTGCCATACAGGCTGCTACAAACACCATTCTGAGATGCTTTCTCATTCGTGTATTGGATAGTAACTTGGAAGCAATGGATATTTGAAGAAAAAAGGGAGTATGAATTTTAGATGTGTAATGCTGAACATTAGAGTACTTGAGAGATCCTTGGAGTGTTTGCCTCCTTTATAAAGCCAAAGTAGTACTTCATTGCTGTAGAGGACTCAACTCCTTACTCTGGACCCAGTGGAAAAACAGGCTATCTAACAGTAGGATCAATAAAATTAATAAAGCCAAGTAAGTATCCTTTCAACTGCAGACAGTCAATACATTATATTTGATGCTGTATCAGTTAATTCTATTACTGGAATAAGTTCTCCTTCATTTTGTTTAAAGGAGTTGCATGAGACTGTATGTCAGGACATACAGCTATCTTTTAAACTACAGCACTAGAATAATCCAATCTGTTTTCTGCCAATATCTATTAAGACATACACATCAAGCAGTTTGTCTCTCACTCAACATATAACTGATTTTAGTCAGTTTAATCCTGCTAATGGGCCTAACTGAATAGCTTGTATTTCTTCCTGTGCTTCTCTTACAGCTTTCATTTAAAAGATCTTACCTTCATTTCTTTATGGAAAAATTCAGAATGGATTATTTGGGTTGGTTTTTTTTTTTCCTCCACACAAACAAAGCAGAATTAACAGTCTCAGTTGTTCCTATATTGCCATGCATACAGGCTTTGTGAATTTTCATTTTAGCTTTTCAAAACTTCCCCAGTGTTCATAAAGTTTGTGTGAAGAAGAATTCTACCTTTCACCAGCTTCAAAACTTAGGATGTTTCTTTCTCAAAGAACATGGGAAGAAAGAGAAACTCTAACATTATGATTTTTATGAAAATTTCCTGTTGAAATATTTTGTTGAAAATGACAACTCAAACTACTTTTTCTATGCAACCCTGCTTTTAGACAGTGAGAACTATGCTTGGAGCAGCTCTAGCTTTTCACAGGATCTTGCATGTCAGTACCCATTCGTTATGCTGTGAACTGTATTTCAGGACTGTGCCCAGACTAAACAACAGTCATGATAAATACCAGAACAGTGATATTTGCTAGGTGTTCCTAGGTATTGTTCATCTATTCCTAGCTCTTGCTTTGGGCACTCAATGATAGTTATCATTCCTTCAATGACCCTGTAAAATGTATTGCAAGTGCTGCTATATGGTAGAAAATAAAGGTAAGAATCACACCTATGGAGAGAGTCCAGGAACCACTACTGAAGTCCTGCTTACTTAAGACTTTGTTTAAGACTTCAAGGTTGTGCTTAGGTTTTATCAATGTTACATGTGATGGTTGTGAACAAGTTGAACTTGAGATCTCTTTTCAAGAGAAGCTCTAAGAAGACTTTGACCCATGCCTGCTGGTCTGCACTGAGATGAATGTAACCCTAATAGCATTAAGTTGCTAGGAGTATAGTTGTATACTCCATTTCTGGTGTCTTTTACTTGGGTCCTGGTATTTGTCTGGGCAGAAAGTAAATAATACGAACTGTGCTGTGGAAAAAACTAGTGCTGGGATGAGGTTATTGTACATATTTGCACCTGTGCTCTAGGTAAAGTTTCAAACGCCTGGTCTCCAGGACTGAAGAACAACTTGCATTCAATTCTCTTTGCATCACTTGCTCCAGCACATTCTTAGCCGAGGCCCTGGCAGAAATGCTGCTTTAGGCCTGTTTAGCAGATGGACTGACCGCGCTAAGATTTGGTACAGTTGAAAGCTGAGGTGTCCCACTGGCAGTTTTGTGACCCAAGTTGTCTGTGGAGCTGCCTGCGCTTGGATGTGGAAGAAAAGTGGGAAAAAGACTGAGAGCTAGACATGATTTGTGTGGTTTGTTTGGTCCTGGGGCTGTCTGCTGCTAAAACATGGCTATGCAAGTCTTGAGTTGACCAAAAGACTCCTTTCTGTGCCAACTGTAATAACTTTTGTGAGGCATTTATAAGCATATTGTTAAACTGTAGTATACCAAATAAAAACAACTTTTTAATGGGGGATGAATGAGCAAAAAGATGGTAAAGACGTGAATATGGAGAGGTGTTATAGTGTATTTCTTGAACATGGTGTGTTCATGAAGATAATGCCCTCTGCATCTTCAAACAAGTCTCTTCTGGTCTACTTTCACCAGGACAAATGCATAATTAATCAGAATTAATACATGGGCAGGGTGAGGGAAGAGGTCGTTTCCTTCAGAACTACTTGTCTTTTATTTAGTAAGTGATTCTGCAGATTATTTAATTGACTGGTCATTAGTAACATTAGAGACTTTTTTAAAAGATCCCTTCTTAGATAAAGGAGGAAGCAGCTCATTTGATTGTAACAGGTGATGTTTTGGGGCAGACTACAGAAAAATAGCATTCTCAGAAGCTCCTGGTAAGAAACTCTGGATTATACTCTCAGTTGTATAGGAACTGGGCTGGGAACCTAGCAGATACAATATTTAATACTATTCTTCAGTTAAGTTGGGGTATATAGCATTAGGTTGCTTGGATGCTGAAAGAACCATGGCCAGTTTACTGATTTAGCTTTGCTTTTGTTTAGCTTGGGCATAAATGCAGCTCACTTGCTAGATATATTTAGAACCAGGGAATGAACCTGAGGAAAAGGATGCTAGTGAGAGCCATACTGTAAAGCAGTCACAGTACTTTTTATCAATAATCATGATAGATCTGGTCAGCTGTGATCGGGAAACCTACCTCAAGATCAGGACCAAATTGCAAAAAGCATTTATCAATGCCTAATGGTACTGAGCACCGGTACAGTGCTGGATGCCTTTTCTAGTGAGCAAAGAACCTGACATTTCCTACTAGAAAGAGTTTACAGGCTTGTTCAGGAAAGAAAAACAATCAGACAACAGAACACAAGTTTCCCTGTGGGAGGAAAACTTGCTCTAGAAATTAGGTATTCAAAAATTAGTAGCATGATTTTTGAAGCAGTCTGAGCACTCAGGAGCTCATATTTCCTTATGGTTTTACCAAAGAAATGTAAAAAACTCTCTGAATTTTTTTTTCTGTATGGTACTTTCTCAGAAAAGTACTGACTTCCAGGTGTAGCTCTGCCACACTAGTCACTGCACTTGAGCCATCTTCATGGCTCTGACTGCTCTTTGCTTGTATTTTCCTGCTTCTACTGTTTAGTCCATGCCTATGTCACTACAGCCAATGTAGTAATCCATGCACAATGTTAAGGTCCATCACTCACTGGTGAACTCCCATTTTGACCTGACCTACCCTCTAATGCTTGGAAACAGGACTAAGATGCAAGACATTGGTCTCAGCAATACAAACAACCTTATTACTAAATTCCCATCCTTTGAATTTATTTAAATTGTTTCTATTCTTTTTCAAATTTCAG